AAAAGGATCAAGTCATAACGTAGTTCAAAGTAACATGAATATGAATTTGTTTATGGGGGGTGCCGTGCACAGTTTATACTCATGCGCGCCAGGAGTGACTATTCTTTAACTACTTTAGACAAAGTAGAGTATTAGGTTTAACCACATAACACCTTAGTGGGAGAATTAATAGTTTAACCACATATATTCACATTGGTGGAGAATTTAGCAGTTTAATCACATGCAAAGCTTTTTGGTGATTACCGTTCACAGTTTATACTCGTGCGGGTTAGGAGTTATCTTTTTTTTTTTGGTTTTTTTTTTTTTTGGTTTTTTTTAATACAACATACAACTAAGCGTAGTAGCGCTTCAAGAATTTCCCATTGATAGGGCCAATCTTGACTCGATCCTCCAAAATCAACTTATACGCTCCATTGGTGTAGACCTCCGTGACGACATATGGTCCATCCCATCTTGACACGAACTTGTTTCCAACACGATGAGTGGTTACGATGGGTCTTCTCACAGCGAGTACCAAATCTCCCACTTGAAAAGAACGAGCTCGGACCCTCTTATTAAACGACTTTGAAAGACGGGCTTGATAACATTCAAGTCTTTGTTGCGCTTCCAACCTCCTCTCATCAAGAGCTTCTAATTCCTGGAGACGCAACCGTGCATTATCTTCCTCGGTCAACCCTTCTTGTATGGCGATCCTCAATGAAGGGATTTGTTGTTCGAGGGGCACGACAGCTTCAACACCATATACCAGCGAGTACGGAGTGGCTTGAGTGGGGGTCCGATAGGTGGTGCGATACGCCCAAAGCGCTTCATGAATTCTTTCGTGCCAATCCCTCTTTGACTTGGCTACGACTTTCTTCAAAAGACTACACAAAGTCTTATTGAATGCTTCAGTAAGTCCATTCGCCGCTGCATTGTACATAGAAAATTTTCTCTGCTTAAAGTTGAACTTCTCGCAAAGCTTATCGATCAAGCTGTTGCTGAAAGGCTTCCCATTATCCGTTATTATATACCGTGGAATTCCATAGCGATAGATGATGTTTACACGAATAAAGTCAGCAACGTTTTCCTTCTTCACTTCTTTCAAGGGAACCGCTTCAGCCCATTTCGAGAAGTAGTCAGTCGCAGCCAAAATATAAAGATGACCACCCGAAGACTTTGTCAGAAGACCAACCACATCTAATCCCCAAGCATCAAAAGGCCATGAAGCGACAGTAGGGTGCAACGACTCAGGAGGTTGATGGATCAAATTTGCATGAAACTGACACGCTTGACATCTTTGGGCGTAATCCATACAATCTCTAACCATTGTCGGCCAGTAGTACCCCATTCTCTTAATTCGGAAGTGCAGCTTCGGACCAGACTGATGAGCGCCACATATGCCCGAATGAGCTTCTTCCATGGCTTGAGCAGCTTCTTCGTCGTCTAAGCATCTCAAGAACACTCCATCGAATGACCGTCTATACAAAACATTATTGAAATAAAAGAAGCGAGGTGCACGACGTCGAATATCAACCCTTTGTCGTAGGTCGTTGGGCAACTTGTCATACTTTAAGTAATCCACGAGCGATTGGCGCCAATCTTCCTTCTCAATATTGAATACTTCAACAACATGAATTTCATCTTCATTCCAATCATCGTCGTCGAAAATTGGAGGTATAACCCAACTTCTACAAATTTGCACTCGAGCCCTATCCTCGGGAAGAATGAGTGAAGAAGCGAGTTTTGCCAAAGCATCAGCTTGTTTATTATTCTTTCTCGACACATGTTCGATCGTAACATCTCCAAGCCATCCCATGAGCCTTTTCGCATAGTCGACATACGAGAGCAACTCGGGCTTCTTTACATCGTATTCTCCAAGCAGTTGGTTTACCACTAACTTTGAATCGCCATAAACTTTGAAATGTAGTTGCTTCATGTCTACGGCCATCTCCAACCCCAGAATTAGAGCTTGATACTCTGCAACGTTGTTTGAGCAATTTTCAGTCAAAGTAAAAGAATACGGAAGCACTTCTCCATGGGATGTCACAAAGACGACTCCAGCACCAGCTCCTTCTCTATGAGACGCTCCATCAAAGTACATCTTCCAAGGTGGAGTAATTTCAATGAGAAGAACGTCTTCGTCTGGTAGTCTATCGGACAACTCCCACTCACCAAGAATTTTCTTATACGACCATGCGAATATATCCTTAAACTCACCAAGAAGCTCTATGTAGGCCTTTTCTTCATCTACAGTTAGCAAGGCACTGATGTACGTCGGGCGAGGATCGTCAACATCACCCAAGTTGATTTCTTTTAGTTCATCGACCGTAGCTTTAACACCTTCTTCAAGCTCGGGAGGTGCGTCTTCAGCATCTTCCTCCTCTATTGGAGCATCATCGCATATAGTGATATGGTTCACATATGCAATATCTTCGGTCGGCTCACCAAGAGCTTTGAAGTCGATACATGCTCGCACCCGTCCATTTCTTCCCGTGACAAATCGTGTTTGCACATTTTCATCAACTCTAGCGATATACCTTTTTCTCACCAAATAAATTATCTTTCGGTAAAGAAAACGTTCATCATTTCGAGGAGTTGTGAGAGTACCGCAAGCATAGTAAGACGAAGCGACACTTTCTCTATCATCATCTTCATCATCATGTACTCTTGTATGAATGATCGTGCGCATTTTTGCTTTTAAAACTTCACCACGTGATACGATCAAGGTAGTTTGACGTTTCATACGTGACGAAATTAGACTTCTAAGCTTTGGAGCCGGGCCTACACCTTTTTTTGTCTTAAAGGCTTTGACTGCTTGAAAGATCCCAGTCGTTTAAACACAGGTTGTTTTCCTTTTGACTTTCGCACCGGACCGAGTCTTTGAAACACCGACACTCTTTTCTCTTTCTTTTCACCGTCAGAAGACGAGAACTCTCCTTCCGAGACATGGTTGGCGTTTGCTCTCTTGATGGCGATTCTAATTGGACTCGATGCCACATATCCAAGACCTGCCCTGTTGTGCTTTTGCTCTTGAGGTATGACCTTTCCCAAAGAGCGACTTTCATTGGGATTGTATCCTGCTTTGACGAGAAGCTTGTAGGCTTTTGGATCAAAACACTTAGAGTTCTTCAATCCTTCACCATGCTCCGTCACAGCTCCTTTTCTTAGACGAACAAAGTTCATGGGTGGTTGGGAGATTGGTTTCTCGTCATCTATCTTCGGCAGCGGCAACACTAACTCTTTTAAAGAGTTTTTTACCTCTTCAATCTTTGATTCTTCACTTTCAAACCCTTTATGCTGCTTAGACGAGACTTTCTCAACTGGTTTTGCATCATTGAAATAGTATTTGGCATCAGCGAAATGAGTTTCAGCCTGTGTAAAAGGTTTATCATCACCAAGCACAGTCTTCACAATGCCATTTTTGCAATATTTGAAGCATTGATGCCATGTGGACGGAACCACGCCATTCTCATGAAGCCATGGACGACCAAGAAGCATATTGTAAGAAGTTTTTGCATCGATGACATGAAACATAGCAGTTGATTCCATATCTTCCATCAACAACCTCAACCTTATGCTGCCAAGAGCTCTTTGCCCCCCTTGGTTAAAGCCTTGAATCATCAATCGACTATTACCAAGTTCTTCCGTAGTCATTCCTAACTCTTTTAGCGTGCGAAGAGGCAAGATGTTGACTGCTGATCCTCCATCAATCAATATTCGGTTAACCTTTTGCTCTTGCACATAGTCGGCCACGAACAACGGTCTGTTGTGAGGCTTAAACCAAGCAGCAGATCTTCATCAGTAAAGACCATCATGGAATCATTATCAACATGGTGATTCTCAACCTCAGGCAAATTGTTTTCTTCCAGCGGAGCTTCGTGCTTATTTGTCATGTTGCAAGCTTCGCTTATATGATTAGCAGTTGCACTATTTTCTTCTACTGAAATTTTTCCTTGGTGTGTCAGCTGCATAACCTTGTCCTTGAATACGAAGCAGTCATGAATTGGATGCCCTATAAGACGGTGGTATTTGCAGTATTTTGGGTCGTTTACCCTGCCAGCTTCTTCAGGACGCTTCATCTCAGGTAACTCAACAAGTTTTGCTTCCATCAGATCGTCAAATATGCCAGAGATGTCTGAATCAAGGAATGGGTACTGCTTTGCTTGCATTTCTTTCAGAGTCAACCTTCTTTGTTCAATTTCCTTAGGGACATCTTTCTTTTCAACGGCTTTATCAGCAGATTTCCCTTTGAACTTGACAGGCATAGCATTGATCGTCATGGACTCCTTATTTTGAGATTTCGAGGAAAACTTGCCCCTTTTCTTTTGCTCGTATCTATCCTTGGAGATTAGGGGTTCTTGGATTGGAGGACAATTAGCCCCGCTTGCGGTCATGCTTAGCTCCATATCGTGGGCTCGAGTCGCTAACTCTTCGAATCTTTTCGGCCGAATACCTTGAAGGATGTAACGAAGACCCCAACTCATACCTTGAATGCACATCTCAATGGCAGAAGGCTCAGACAGACGATCTTTGCAATTCAGGCTTAAGTTTCTCCACCTATTGATGTAGTCGATGACTGGCTCCTCCTTCCATTATCGAGATGTAGTGAGCTCGATCATACTGACTGTATGTCTCGTGCTGTAAAAGCGACTAAGGAATTCGTGCTCCATTTGATCCCAACTATCGATGGAGTTTGCTTCCAAATCAGTGTACCAGTCGAATGCGACCCCTTTGAGTGAACGAACAAACTGCTTCACGAGATAATCACCATGGGTTCCCGCATCGTTGCATGTCTGAATAAAGTGGGCTATATGTTGCTTCGGGTTGCCTTTGCCATCAAACTGCTGGAACTTGAGAGGTTGATATCCAACAGGCATCCTCAAGTTATCGATCCTTGGTGAATATGGCTTGACGTAGCTAGGGGTTGACTTGGAACAACTAACATTCTTGTTGACTTTGTAAAGGTGAATCTTTATTCGGATAATGCAGATAGTACTCGAAGACAAAAATAGCTCCATCAAATGGTAGCATCATCAAAACTTCTTTCAGTAGGAAAATGACTCCGACTCCGAGACGACGACGACAACAACAACAAAACAATACATAGGAAGAGCACATAAGGTTCAGTAAAAGAGTTCAACAACATGCTCAACCATTCACGACAAAGAATAACAAAACAAGACATCAAACCAACATACACCTGCTCTTCTTATCTTAA